AAACTTTAAAGTTTAGTCCACACGTGTGAATATGTGTTTATATGTTTGCTTTAAATAAAATTTTCCTTTAGCCAAGATTTAATTAACTGAAACTTGAACAATTATCTACTAAGTGAGAAATCGAGTAATGGAACGTTTAATTTTATTGCTGACACAATATAATAGTTGACACTAAAATTCAAAAAGAAGCCTCGCTAATTGATCTCGAATAGGGAGGGCAATAAAATCCTATCAACCGTATACTTAGACCGTTTATTGTTTCTGCAAAAAAAAAAAAAAAATTACATATATAGGAAGTAATTATGTGTTAATTAACTCTTTTTGAAATGATCTCACTTTTAACAATAAAAAAATGTTTTCCCTTCACTGAATTTTTTTTCTATTTTATTTTTTAATTCTTTCTATTTTATTAATATTTTTTTTAATTTTTAAAAATATTTTTATTTTTGTTTGCATTTTTCTTTTTCTATTTTTTTAATTCCTTCTATTTTATTATTTTATTTATATTCTAAAGGAATAAAATAGAAACAAAAGAAAATTAAAATGTAAAATAATTTAAAAATTTTTTTTACATTTTTATTTAAATTATTATTTAATTATTACTTTAAAATAAAAATAAAATAGAAACAAAAGAAAATAAAAATGTAAAAAAATTTTTTATATTTTTTTACATTTTTATTTTTGTTTCGTTTCTATTTTTATTTATTTTAATTTTTAATTTATTGTCAAGTCTTAAAAAATACTTGACAATATTTATTGTTTTATTTACTATTTTATGTTACTATTTTTACTATTTTATTTTATTATGTTTTTTTATTTTTATTTTACGTATTTTACTTTTTTTTTTTATTTCTTGCTTTTTACAATTTTTTTTGCATATTTTTATTATTTCAAGAAAATGAAAAGTAAATTGTTACAAAGATAAATTAGCGAGAGAATTATTGTATTTTAATATAAATGAATAAATGAAATAAAAATTGTTTTGCGAAAAATACTTATTTATATATATAAATAAGGTAATTTTGAAATTATTTTGCTCTTAAATGAAATTGGAATTGAATAGATGAAATTGTTGATAAAGTTCAGATTTCAATTTTATATAAAACGTGTCTCGAGACTGTAATACTGTCACGTTTGACATTGGCCACTTCGGTCCACATAATGCGCTTCGCATAATAATGTAACGACTGTATAGCGGTAAACAAAGTATACTTGTATTTTTCACTTAATAGTATACATATATATACACCATAATGTAGTGCTTCCCTCGTAAGAAAAACAATTTTCAAAAAATCTTCATCATCTTTAATTTCAATTTATTTATAAAAAGGTAATTAATTGAATATATTTCCTCTTTTTTCAATTTCAGAAAAATTTTTAATTTCAATTTATATATTAATCCATTAAGTCCTATTAAGAAATCAGTCATTGTATATTAAAATAGAAACAATTGGATTCATATAGGCAAATTGAAAAAATACCTGTTTTTTTCTTTTTAATTTCCAATTGTTTAACAATAATTGTTTAAACAAATTAATGAAAATTAAATTTTTAAGAACTATCAACGCCATCAATCAATTCTGTAAAGAATTGAGAAAGTTTAATATTTTTAATTTTTTTGTCCAAGTTGTATTTTGTTTATAAAATTGTTATAAACAAATTATGCTTATTGTTGCTTGCCAACAAAACAATTTTCTTAACAAAATACGACTTGGACAAAAAAATTATCCATACAAAATTTTCTTAATTTTTTACACAAAATTAATTGGCATAACAGTTTTTAAAATTTTTTCTTATAAATTTGTTTAAACAATAATTTAAACAATTATTGTTGAACAATACAAATTTAAAAAAAGGATACGTATCTTTTTTTAATTTGTCTATGAATTTAATTGTTATTAAATCATAATTGTTACTTTTACTTAAAATACATTTTTTTATGCTTGGGATAAAACACTCTTTATCCGGCACAATTTATTTATAACAATTTTATGAACAAAATACGACTTGGACAAAAAATAGGACATACAAAACTTTCTTAATTCTTCAGAGAAATTTTATTATTGATTGGAGTTGACAGTTTTTAAAAATTTTTTAAATTCTTATTAATTTGTTTAAACAATTATTGTTAAACAATTGTAAATAAAGTTGCCAAATTTTTTTCCAATTTGCCTATGAATCCAATTGTTACATTTTTAATACAATGGCTGGTTTCTTAATGGGAATTAATGGTTTAAAGATAATTAATTAAATAGTTCTCGTTTTTTCAATTTCAAAAAAATCCAACTTTGACAATTATTATTTATACTGACTTTACTGTTGTATTAGAAAAATAATAATAACAATAATTAAAAACAATTGTTTATTCAGTTAATAATTAATATTAATATTATTAATTTATTAATAATTAATATCATTATTTATAATATTTGTATTATTTTTTTAATTATTATTTTTATTATTATTATTAATGAGGATCAAATGCAATAATTTATAATCTAGAAATTATACAGTTTATAAATAAAAATTCAGTTTCAACAATTAATTATTTTTTTCTTTTTATAAATTCGCGTTAATGAATAAATTTCTCTTCCATATTCGGTGCAGTTCGACCTCGACAATAATGAGTGTTGCGCTTTACCAAAAATTAATGCAGAAAATTAACAATTTTGCGAACAGGACCTTCAAAATGAAATGAAGAAAAAAAAAGCAGACTAAAAGTGTACGTCTGAAATAGAAAATCTCAAAATAATTCTATTCTTATTTCGTTAGTAATTTGCTTTTCCTTTCAAGCTTTTTTTTTTATTTTTCTAATAAAAAATGGAAATTTAAGTATATATAAGTGATTAAAATAGAAAATTAAAAGTGATTGCATTTTTAATTCACTTTATATACTCTCTTATTTGGTTGTATATAATTTTTTATTTATTTACAATATTATTTAATTTATATTTTTTAATTAAAATCTGATGATAAATGGTACCTCTTTATGTAAACATTTTTTTGGAAATTTTCTAAAACGTCTCTAAAAGATTGTAAAATAATTTTTCGTAAATATTTTATTTAATTAGTTTAGCTTAGTTTAGTATAGTATAGGTTAATCTAGTTTAGTCTCGCTTAGTCTAGTCTTGTCTAAATTAGTTTAGTCTAGTTTAATTTAGTTAGTCTTCTCTACATCAGTTTATTATTATCCAGATTAATTTAGTCTAGTCTAGTTTTTTCTAGATTAGTTTAGTCTAGACTATTTTAGTCTAGATAGTCTGGTTTAGATTATTTTAGTCTAGTTTAGTTTTGTCTTCTCTGGATTATTTTAGTCTAGCACAGTTAGTCTGGTCTAGATTAGTTTAGTCTAGTTAGTCTGGTCTACATTAGTTTAGTCTAGTTTAGTTCAGTCTTCTCCAGATTATTTTAGTCTAGCTTACTTTAGTCTAGTTAGTCTGGGCTAGATTAGTTTAGTCTAGATTTGTTTAGTCTAGCTAAGTCTATTATAATATAATCTAGTCTAGTCTATTTATTTACTGGTCTAGTTTATTTTTTTATAATCTTATCTAGATTAGTTTAGTCTAGCTTAGTCTGGTTTAATTTAGTTAGTCTTGTCTAGATTATTTTAGTATTGCCCAGGTTAGTTAAGTCTATTTTAGTTTTTTCTAAATTAGTTTAGTCTAGTTAGTCTGGTCTAGATTAATGTAGTCTAGTTTAGTCTTCTCTAGAATATTTTAGTCTAGCTTAGACTAGTCTAGTTAGTCTGGTCTAGATTGGTTTAGTCTAGTTTAGTCTTCTCTAGAATATTTTAGTCTAGCTTAGACTAGTCTAGTTAGTCTGGTCTAGATTAGCTTAGTCTAGTTTATTTTAGTTTTGTCTAGATTAGTTTAGTCTAGTTTATTTTTGTTTTGTCTAGATTAGTTTTGTCTAGCTAAGTCTTTTCTAATATAATCTAGTCTAGTCTATTTAGTTTACTAGTCTAGCTTAGTCTAGTTTAATCTAGCTTTGTCTAGTTTAGTCCAGTTTAGTGTAGTTTGAACCAACTGCCATGTATTAAAAAAAATCTCATTTTATTTCAATCAAAAAGCCATTCAGAATATATCCCTCTAAGGGAAATTGAAAGATGCAGATGAGGCATTATAATAACGAAATGAAACAGGTTCAGAAAAAGTGTGTCACTTCAGACACGTATATATCAACGCAAATTACACTTTAATAAACACACTAACGGTACGTGAGGTATTGAGAAAAAAAAATTGAAACATATTCACTTGTATAGAAACGTATGTGTATATAAAACTTGAAAGATTATAACTAGAAAATCGTTAACTTTTTTTTTTCTTTCTTTAAATTCACGCATCCAATGATGATGATGAGTCTATTCTAAAGATATATTTGACTATTAAAAATGATTTTCTCATTTTTTTTTCTTGACCACGATTTTACGTGTATTTGCTCACGCATTATTTTCGACATACTTTAGTCATTCATGGCAATTTATATGCTAATGCGATACTTCAACACCTCCTTTCAATAAAATTTCAGTTATCAGATTTTTATTCGCATTTATTTTTATTCATAATTATTATGATCGTAATTATTATTATTATTATTATTATTATTATTATCATTATTATTTTTTTTATTACTCAAACTATTCTTTTATTAATTATTATTAATTGCTAATTGTAAAATTGTATACAAATTCGAAAATTTCTTTTTGGTTTCAGGTGAGTGTCACTTTCATCTTGAACAAAACAGAAATATAAGCCTTCCCAAAAATCACTGTAAGTAACAAATTATATTTAACAGTAATATTAATAATTAATTACTTATTTTAAATAATCTAAATAATATTATTTAAATTATTAAAAGTTAGTAATTTATTAATTTATTAATTAATACAAATAATAATTAAGTTAATTAATTATTTAATTAATTAATAAGATACTTTATTAATTAATAACAAATAATAATTCATTCAAATAATTATTTAAAATATTAAAAATTAATTAATTAATTAGGTAATTAATTAATAATAATAGTCATAAAATTAAAAATATTAATATAATAATAATATTAATAATTAACAATGAATAATAGTTTCATAATCGATCGGAAGAGAAATGGGACTCGACAGGACGCCGAAGCACGATGCGAACTTGCCCGGAAATCCTCGAAACCTCATTAGGGGCTGAGCTCTCATTAGATTAGGTTGATATTTGCGAAGTGATGTTAATATTTCTTGTATTAAAATTAACACATATTTTTTTGTTGCAAATAGTGATTTCGAAAAAATAATTTAGCTAGGAATTTTTATAAACATTTTTCAAAATTGTGATTATTTTATATAGGAGAGTAGCAATCTAATAATAAGGTAGTTTCACACAAGAGAAAATAATTCAAAGTGATTTTTTTTCAAGTGATTGAAAGACAATAAGAAGAGGAATCACAAAATAAAAAAGGGGTAAGTCAAAAAAATATCATTATTAGTACTTCCTACGTAAAAAAAATGTTTTATTTAAATCTAAAAATCTTTCTTTAACTGCATTTATTTGAAGTAGAATTTTTTTTTAATTTAATATTATAATTAACTTTATTTTTTATAATAGAACAATTTTTTTTGTAGTAGAAATTTTTTTCCTTAAACCACGTGTTGTTATTAAGTCACGTGATTCCCTCGTAATTCTTATTCCTTGTCACAAAATACAATTTTTAGAGAATTTAATCAAGAATTTATTAAAAAGAAATATTTCAAAAGAGTAATTTTTATTTTATTTTCTTTTTTTAATAACTAAAATAAATTATCTTGTATAAAATTCGAGTGAAAAATTACTGGAAAATTTTAGAAATTATTATTTTCAATATTGGGCAATGACTTTTCAAAGTTGTAGAGAAAAGTTAATCCCATATTGTAAACAAAAAACTTTACGACCTTTGGGCATTTGTTATAAAATTTGCTTTGTGCCAAATAAAATTTCTTAGAAAGTAAAAAAAAAAAATAGAAATAAAATAAAAATTTAATTCTCATTTTTTATTATTCTATTTTATTTATTTTTTATTCTAATTTATTTCTTAAATAAAATTTTATTTGTCTTGAAATATTTCTAATTTTTTTTTTAGTTTAATTTCCAAGAAATTTTATTTGGCACAAAGCAAATTTTATAACAATGCCCAAGGTCGTATACATACAATATGGGATTAACTTTGAAAAGTCATTGCCCAATATTGAAAATAATAATTGTTAAAATTTTCCAGTAATTTTTCACTAAAATTTTATACAAGATAATTCATTTTAGAAATGAAAAATTATTTTAATAAATAATTATTATAATTTTATTTTATATGAAAAAATAGTAAAAATTTTTTGGGTTTCTATTTTTATTTACGAATTATTAATAATTGTTTTAAAAAAATAATGCAAAATAAATAGAAATAAAAAAAAATTAAATTACAATAAATAGAATTAAAAATATTCAACTGGTAATAATAAAAGTAACAAAGTAATTATAAATAATTTTTTATTCCTTGAAATAATTTTTATGAATATTAGTAAACAAAAATGGAGATAAGTAAAATTCTTTATAAATTTTTCATGTAAAATTTTATTATTTTTTATTGAGAATTATTATTTTTTTTAATTATTTTTATTTTTTCTTAAAATTCAAATGGTCATTGTTATAAAATTTTTTTTGTTCCAAACAAAGGAAATTTTTCATTTTCAACTTTTCATTTTTAATTATTATTTATTCATTATAGTAGATAAATAATTATTTCCGTTCATAAATGATAAAATAATAAGTTTCAATATTTTAGAATATTACTTAAATAATTAAAAATAAAAAAGTAAGGATTAAAAATTTTCAGAAAAGTTATTAATTATTAATCAATAAGCAAAAATCTGTAATAATTTTTATAAATTCTGTTTCTGTAAATATTATTGTTTAAAAAGTGATTTAGCAGTTTTAATTTATTTTTTAATTTTATTTATTTTTTCTCAACTTATTTTTGTTTAATTTTAGTGAAGATTAATGATTCCTTTTGCCCTTGTCTGCCTTTTCCTCAACAACAATAAAAGTACGAAGGGAAAATTGTGTCCTTCCCCCTCTCCTTCCTTAGTCGAAAATTATCTCCTTCTATACACGGAGAGAAAAATCAAGCGTTTGTAGTATGGACAGTTAAGCTTATTTCGTAAAAGAATGCACATGCGCAATATGCGTAAAACTTCTGCTGTATTTGTATAAATTTCTACGTTATCAGCATAAAAGTTCTACCTGTAACGCATGGGACGTCAGTATACTACGATTGCAAGAGATCCATGCTTTTTTAGTATATGTTTCATGCAACTGAGGTATAAAAACATGCCTCTTTAGCAGGACGTTCATACAAAATTAGCATAGGAAGTCTCCATACTACAAACGCTTGATTTTTCTCTCCGTGTACCTGAGTGAGTTTTCCCTTGTGCCACAGTTCATTGACTTCCTTCGGTGAGGCAGCTTTTCTTGATAACTTAACTAAATAATTAAATTTTGTTCAATATTTTTAATAATTGAAGCAAATTAAAACTGCCTTGAATAATTAAATTTTATTAATTAAATGTCATTATCAATTGTATAGATTCCGAAGAATTTTCCAAAGGACAGGCAATTTTCGAAGAAACTGGGAGTTTTCATTAATTTTCCAGTAGAACTTCATAAAGAATGAGTAAGTACCATAAAGTACAACAAACTTTTTATTTAATCGTTTTTTAAATAGTAAATTATTTTTTAAAATTATGTTTGTTATTTAAATTATTTTAATAATAAATTATTTTTAAATTATTATTTTTTAAAATTATCTTTGTTCTTTGAATTATTTTAATAATAAATTATTTATTTATGCTTTGGCAACTGTAATTATTAATTTTTTTTATTTGATATTAATTATTAATTATCTATTAATATTAGTGAAATAAAAAATTTATTTATAACAAATAAAAATTTTTAAAATTAAATAATTATTTCTTTTAAATAAAATTTTTCAAAATTGTATTTTATTAAAATTTTTAATTAAATTCTTTTAAATTAAATGTTTCAAAATTTTATTTTATTTAAAGCTTTAATTAAATTCTTTTCAATTATTTCTAATAAATCATTTTTTTGTAACAAATATTTTAAAAAAATTTTATGTAAAGAAATTATCTTTCTTGGAAAAAATATGAAAGTAGGAATTTATTTTAACAATTTCTAAATTTTTTTTTTGTCTAATTAACTAAAATTTTTTTGCAGAGATATATTTTATTTCTTTTTCAACAATCAATGACGAGCAAAGGAAAGAAGAGGAGGACGCAAAAATATACCAAAAAGTGACTCAAAAGTAGTGGAAAATCTATGAAAAATGTAATATTTAGCTCTCGTTGTATTATAGTTATTTTCTCTACGAGTTCTGAAAATGTTTGTTATTTAGCTAGGGATTTTGAAACCGAAAAAATTATTGTATTAGCTAGGTAATTAGCAATGTAGGTAGTTTTTAAGTATTTTAAAATAATTTTACCGCAAAAACTTCAACATCCAGCATCAACTCATAACATTATGGGGTAAGTCAAAGAAATAACATTATTTTTCTTTCCCTTATTACATCCTACACCCAGAGAAAAGTTTTATTTTAAAAAGAAAAATTCTAACTTTATTTTTCACTTACAAAATAAATTTAATTTAAACGTAACATTCAAATTAAAAACATTTGTCACTAAATGAACATGTTATTTAGTAAAAAAAATTTTATCGTAATTTTTTTTTTAATAATTATTTTATTTTATTATTTGATTTTCTTAATTCTATCTTTTTTAAAGTAACTTAGTATTTTTATATCGAGTAAATAAATCAAATTTATTGTAAATTAAAATTTATTGGAAAACAACTAAAAATTATTTGAGTAAGAAAAACAATATATAATAAAAATACAAGTTAGAATTTGAAATAGAAAATAATGTAAAATATAAAATTTGTAATAATTATAATTTATTATACACTGAAACATAAATTTATTTGATTCAAACAACGAATTACTTGTCTATTATCAAATAAATATTTCTAGAATTTGAAATAGAAATGTAAAATATAAAATTTTTAATAATTATTATTTATTATACACATTTACTTGATTTAATCAAATAATTTTTTTTCAATAATTTATAATAACAACAACAGTAGTAATAATTATAATTTATTAAATAATCAATAATTATGTCAGTTAATTTTAAAAATAATTAAATTTTAAATAGTATTTGAAGCAAATACTATTTAATTGATTCAAGTAAATTTTTATTTAATAATAGACAAGTAATTACTAACAATAAGAATCATAAATAGAAATATTAAATTAAAATAGTATGATTTAAAATTGAAAAAGAAGATTGAAAAATTTGTAGAAATTAAAAAAATACAAAAATTTAAAAATATAAATTTTTCGACAAATTCAAAATATAAACGTAATTAGTATAAAATAAAAAAAAGAAAACAAGTAAAAATTTGTACTAATTGTAAACTAAATATTTTACTATTTTTTTGTTGAAATATATGTTTCCCTTAATTCAAAAACAAAGAAAATGACATCCCTTAGCAATGTTAATTACTTGTTTTCTTTTCGTCCTTCTCTATCTTTTCTACTGCAAGGTAATAATAATAATAATAATAATTAAAATTGTTATAATCATTCTCTAAATTTCAATCAGTTGAAAATATTTGTCTTGAAAGCAAAAAGTTAATATCTAAATCAAATTTAAAAATTCTAGACAATTTTGCTAAAAATACTGTTTTAAAAAAAATCCACTTTTAACAAAAATTATTATCTGGGTGTAGGTTTATGTTTGATTAGTAGTTACTACTAATGCACCAATTACTGCGACTGTAATACTTTTATTTGATATTTTTTTAAAAAATGTAAAGCTTTACTATAATTTGAAAAAAATTTACTATAATTTGAAATAAATTTGGTTAAACCATTTCTAATTTAGTGAGACCGATTTAAAAATAATGTTTAAATTAATTCTTAATTATTTCTTACAAATGGAATATCGCAGTAATTGGTACAATTCATTGTATACCCTTACAGTAATTTCCTTTTAGTAAAAGACCTTTTTAGTTTTTTTTCTTTCAAATTAATTCGCTGGATACTATAAGAGGGAACGTAAATTTTTCTTGGCTGAAATCAGAGTCACCTGAACAAACAAAATTCAACTTTTGAATTTAAATATATTTTGAAATGCGTTTCCTCATAGGAAGTTGTATTGCGCATTCAAAATATTCAAATTCAAAAGTTGAATTTTAAAGTGTCCAGGGTACTCTGATTTCGGCCGAAAAAAATTTACGTGCCCTCTTAGGATCCAGTGACTGATCAAGTAAAATTTTTTCTTTGTAAAATGAATGCAATCATAATATTCTGTCTCAATGAACTTAAGTGCAAGATTGTTGAAAATTTAACACTCTTTGATTTTTAACTCGAATTGAATTGTTACTAGTTTCAATGCTTGGTATTTTACCATGTTATCAATTGAAGGGCTGTTTTTATACGTTTTCTTGAAATCACTCGAATAGTTAAAATATAAAACATATTATTAGTAACGCTTCAAAGACAGGAATTAGAGAAAATAGTAAAAAATGAATTGATATTTTTGTTTTATTGTAACATACATATTTACATATTTTCACTTAAATTATAAATGCACGCGAAGTTAGTATACAAAATAGAAAATATATTTTGATTAATCCTTGCACATGAGTAACTGGCTGACAATCCTCTTAGGTTATTACTCCTTTTTCCAGTTTTTTATTCACCTTCTTCTGAGTCTTCTTTCATTACTTCTTCCATTCCTGAAACAAAAAAAGGTCTTTTACTTCCTTTCGAAAGGATTAAAATTTCGAAAGATCTTTATTTTTCCAAATTAGAAAAGATTCTAATTTGGAACTTTTCTAATTTGGAAAAGTATTTCCAAATTAGAATCTTAAAATTTTACTTTACTCTCTAAGAGGAAAAGGAAGGGATAGTGGTTGCTTTCTTCTTCTTAGAGAGAAAAGTGAAGAAATGTGAGTTCTTTCCTACTATCTTTCTCTTTACTTTACTCTCTAAGAGGTTTGGAAAGGACACTGTTGCCTTCTTCTTAGACAGAAAAGTTCTCCTACTTTTCTATCCCCTCTCTTTCCTACTATCTTTCTCCATGGAGAATTGAAGTTCTCTGTTGGTGGGAGGAGAAGTAGGAAATGGAGGGAATAGGAAAAGAGGAAGTTGACGGCTTCTCTCTCTCCCTAGGGAGAAAAAGAAGTCATTTCCCAAGTGGGAGAGTTTAACGACTTTCTCTTCCACTTGGGATAAATCTCCTACTTTGGAGAAAACAAAGTCGTCCTCGAGGAGAGAGTTTCCGACTTCGATCTCCTCGAGTAGGGAAGTTGGAAATGACTGAGTCTTTCCACTTCTCAGTAGAAGTCGAAGTCAAGGAGAGAAGAACCACAACTTCGCTCCTTGAGAAAGAAAAAGAGGGGGGTGAACGTCAATTTTTTTTTCATCTCTAGAGGTCGGTATTCACAGTGACCTTCTTACCCGTTCGACTTCTTCTGGAATTGAGAAAGTCGCCATCCCCTTTCTGAGGACGACTTCTGACTTTTCTCTCTTCCTACTCAAGGAGAGTGAAGTCGACAACTTCTCTCCTTGAGGACGACTTCGTTTCCCAGGTGGGGAGAGAAAGTCGTCAAACTCTCCCCTGGGAAAGGTAAGGGGAGGAGGTAATTCTCAAGTCCTTCACTAGGGAGTCTGTGAAGGAATGACTTGGTGGAAAGACTTTCTTCGGAAAGAAGACTTGTTGCAAGTCTTTTCCACCAAAAGGAAGGGAGGGAGAACTGATGTCTGCTCTCCATTGGTCAACAGAGACTAGCCGGTCCCCCAGGGAAAGAGACGACACTTCATCTTACTCCCAAAGAGAAACTTCTACTTCGGGAGAAGAAGTTTCTCTCTACTCCCTAGAGAGTAAGAGAAGCGCGTTTTCCCTAGGGGAGACTGAGTCCCTCCAAAGGAGAGGTGACATCAGCTCTACTAGGTAGATAGAGAAGTCGGTCCCCCAGAGAAAGAAGACGACATTCTGCCTTATTCGCCAGGAGTGAAGCAATTTCTACTAATTTAGAAATTGCCCCACTGCCCAGAGAATAAGTAAAGTGCGTTTTCCCTAGGGGAGACTTAAAAGACAGAAAGGAGACTTAAAAGACAGAAAAAATAAGAAGACATGTAAAAAAGAAGATAAAAGAAAAAAGATAGTTGAGAGAATTAGTTAACCCAGCCGTTCACCAAAGAGACAGTGAACGACTGAGTTGGAAAAACTAGTCGGTCCTCCAGGGAAAGAAAACGACATTTTCGTCTTATTCGCCAGGAATAAGTCAATTTTTCTACCACTGGTGGGAGAAACTGTCCTATTCTCCAAAGAATAAGCAAAATGCGTTTTCCCTAGAGGAGACTGAAGTGAAAAAATACAAAGAGAAAGAAATAAGATGATCACTTCCTCTTATTTTCCAGGCGTAAAACAATTCCTGTCACTTCTGGAAGAAAATGTCCTACTCTAAGAGAAGTGCGTTTAAAGTTAAACGGAAATTTGATAAATTGATAAATAAAAAGGAGAAAAAAGAAGTCGTTCCCTCCAGGGAAAGACACGATCACTTCATCTTCTTCGCCAAGAGTAAAACAATTTCTGCTACTTGTGGGAGAAATTGCCTACTCCTCAGAGAATAAGCGGAAGTGCGTTTTCCCTACAAGAAACTGAGATGCAGATTAAACTGGTAAATATAGAGAAAAGTTATTTTTTTTTTGGAAAGGGGCAAAAAGGAAATTTTTCTTTTTCTAGGGAAAACCACAGTCACTTCATCTTATTCACCACAAGTGAAGCTAGATCTGCTACTGGAGGGGGAAGTTCCCCTATTCCCACAGAATAAGTGAAGTGCATTTTCCCCAGAGGAGACAGAGATGGAAATAGCACAACAGATGGAAAAAACAAAGAAGAATTAAATCTAAATCGGTAAAAATTTCACAGATTTCAATTCAGTGGAATTTCACTAATTCTCACTGAGAATCCATAGTTTTTAATGATCCATTGATAATTGATTCATCAAAGAAACCTTGTCCATTAAATTGAAATCTGGGAAGTTTTCACCGATTCAGATTTAGAGTGTGAGAATGGAATTTTGAAAACTAAAAAATGACTTTAAAGAATGAAGTAAGAGAAAAGATATTGTAAGAATTATGTAGAAAATTATGTGAAGAAAGAATAAAGAGAGAAAAATAAAATATTTGTATTTGTTTTACTTACCCCTCTGCATTTCAGGTGATGGCCCTCCTCTTCAGAACGAAGAATGTTGCTAGAAATGACGCTGTAACTGGAAAAATAAATATTTCAAATTAATTTTCACGTAAATAAATTAAATATAATTTTTCATAAAAATAGAAATTTAAATATTTTGCAACTAAATTATTTAAGCAGTATTATTTTTATTTACATTTTTTCACATTTTTCTTTTTAATTTCTATAAATTTTTAAATTTTACTTTTTCAGTTTGAATTCCTACTATTTAATTTAAAAATTTTTATATATAGGGGAGGGTGGTCCCATACCGACCCCCTAAAGTGCAAAGACTAAAAAATGTGCCAAAAATGTGTTTCTTTGTCTTCTTTAAAATTTTTTTGAGTAAAGGAACTATTTTTCAATGTTTTTTGACGATTGCCGAGGTTTCTGATTGTCATTAATAAAAGATCTAAAAGAAAAAGCGAAAATTTACGTTTTTAACTTTTTCAAAATGGGTGGTCCGAAACCGACCCCCCATTTTTTTCGGGGAAAATCTCAAGAATAATCAAGATATCAAATTCTGATAGTAATTAAAATAAAATTCAACAGTCTGTAATAAACTGTTAAATTATTTTGACTTCATTTAAATACATTTTTTAACTTTTTTCTGAACAAAAAGGTAAATAAATGAATCATTAGTAACTTTACTTTGAGATTATTTATGTCTTTAAGTTATGTTGACATAATTAAACTTGAATTAATATTATTACTTTATTTAAATAAATTTTAAGGCCTTTTTTAAAATGATAATAAATATAAATTGTTAAACAGTGTCTAAATTTCCAATATAATAGCAGCAATGGTTTTGCCTGTTTTAATTTTCGCCCTATTTCTAGTAAAATATATACGAATTTTGTTATTAATTCTTTTTCGTTTTCGTACTTAACTGCTCCCAAAGATGTCGAAAAGTACAAGTTTTCTTAATTCATATCGCCTTGTCAAGAACATTTCACAACCGACAATGAATAAAATATTTAACCAAAAGAGAATTAAAGTTAAGTAATAAGTGCTGTGATTGTTAGTAAAATATTTCATAAATTCCTAAAAAATAAAAGTAAATATGCAAAACCTATCATCCCTTCATGTGAACAATAAGGAAGAAGAGAATAAACAATTACAATGTAAAAATATGGGGGTCGGGTTGGGACCACCCCTTGGGGGTCGGTTTCGGACCACCCCCACTATTTTCACAAAATGTTTTGCCAATCACTTATATCAATGGAATCAATTTAATTTGAATGTTGTGCGTTGAAGTTAAGGTCATACACAATCAAAATTAATTTCGTAAAAATTTTCCTGTATTCAAAAAACACTGTTAGCTCGAATTCCGTATAGGTCAAAAATTAATTTAAACAATGCTAAAATCTAATATTGCTTGAATCTTCAAAATGAAATTAAACGCATTGATAAAACCTCCCCGAATTATTACAAATTTTATAGTTTATAGTTTATATTTTTATTTCTAACTAGCGACATATACCTCACTCGCTAACGCTCGTTCGGTTGTATTTAAACTTATTTGTTTTTACTTATTTATTTTTATTTATTTGAACAAAGTAAATATTTACTGGACATAAATATTTTAATTTATAGTATCAAATAAATAGTTATTTGAACCAAATACAAATTACTTAAGTCAATTAAATATAATAATTTGATCTAATAAATATTCCTTTAAATCAATTATGAAACTTACTTGATTCAATAATGCATAGTTTTTAATTAAAATAAATATTTATTTGCATTAATAAAATAATTTTTTTGAAATAACTAAACTTAGAAGGTTAGGTTTTAAATGTTAGCCTGATTCTCTGGATAATTAGTAAGAAAAGGGCGAAGATACGTATATTCTTTTTTTACTAACAGTTTGTGTTTTTTTTATCTTTTAAACAATTGCTCTTATCGCATTGAAAAGCTTTAAACACAAATTGTTATATAGGGGAGCGTGGGGGAATTGGAGCCCTTTAAGGTAAATTATTAAAAAAACCAGCTTATCTTTATAATAATACATTGTTTTCGTCATTTTCTACTCATTTCGTTATTCATCTTTAATTATGTTTAATTAGAAACTTAAAAAGAGAAAGTAAATTGAAAAAAAAATTTTTCAAAAAATACATTTTTTGCCATCACCCAATTTGTGGGGTATTGGGAGCTTTCACTTGAAATTTAAAAAATTTCTATTTTTTAGTAATATTTTTTGTTTTATAATAGAAAAAGTGTTAATACTTAGAATGAAGACAAAACTTTAGACTTAGAATAAACTTTTTCCTGAATTTTAATTGAATAAAAAATTTTTGAAAAAAATTTTATTTTTTATTTTTTCCACGAAAAATTATTTTTTAATTAAAAGTTTTTTCATAAGGTGATATCTTTTATAATTTTGAAAGAAATAACGAAAGCCGTAACATAGTAACGAAGATTCTTTGGGCTGACACTGATTCTCCTATTACCCCACAGAATTCTTACAGGCCAAAATTTGAATAAAAAAAATATATGTAAACAAATTTTATTATTATCTCGATTTTTATACAAGTATACATATCTACACATAGGGCAGTTCCCTACGAAAAGCAAATGGTGGATCACCGATTTTTCTTAAAGTTTGTAATTTTGTAGTACTTGGGGTACTAAATAACTGTGCCAAACAGTTTTGCAAAAAAAAATTTTTTTTGCAAGATTTTTAGATTTGAAAAATCGGAAAATGAAAAAAATGACTTTTTTGAGAATTTTTATTACGAAAACTATTGATTCTACAAGAAAAAGTTATTTATTCAAAATTGTAGAGAAAATGTCAATCTTTTATAATATTTAAAAAAAAGTTAAGAAAAATTAATTTTTCAATACTTTGTTTAAACAATAATTTTTTATTGTTAAAAAAAAGAGCAAAGGACATCATGGAATATTCTAGAAAAATAATTTTCTCAAAATTTGAACCTTCCTTAATAAGTGGTTAAATTTTTAAAGAAGTGATTTTTGGTGTTTTTGAGAAAAAAATTTTTGAAGTTTGCGCTACGAGTTTTTGTGCGTTGCGCTAACTAAGCAGCGCCTATATCAGTGTATTTTAAAAGATAATATGACCTTTACTGCTCGCCTCTAATACATTTAATAATTATATACGTATATATATTATTATTATAAACAGTTTAACAATATATTTTTAACTTTTTTATAAACATTATTTTCCTTTTTTAACCCATTAATACCCATAAGCACAGGAACGCAGGTATAAAAAGTAACTATTGGGATCCTGGCATAGGGTCTAATAATAATTTTTAACGTTAAAAATTAAAAAAAATTTTTTTTTAACAATTTGTTATAAACAAATGAAGAAAAATTAATTTTCATAAAAAACTGATAGCGCCATTCGATTCGACGCAAAAAACTACTACGAGAACGTATATTACATAATTTAAGAAAAAAGACATATTGTTGTAAAAATGTTATAAACAATTAGCCTGCATTTATACTGTACGAGATAGAATATATAGATCCTTCTATCTCATACAGTATAAATGCAGGCTAATTGTTTATAACATTTTTGCAACAATATTTCCTTTTTTGAAAATTATGTAATATACGTTCTCGTAGTAGTTTTTTGCGTCGAATCGAATGGCGCTATCAGTTTTTTATGAAAAATAATTTTTCTTCATTTGTTTATAACAAATTGTTTAAAATAATTTTTTTTTAATTTTTAACGTTAAAAATTATTATTAGATCCTATGCCAGGATCCCAATAGTTACTTTTTATACCTGCGTTCCTGTGCTTATGGGTATTAATGGGTTAAAAAAGGAAAATAATGTTTATAAAAAAGTTAAAAATATATTGTTAAACTGTTTATAATAATAATATATATACGTATATAATTATTAAATGTATTAGAGGCGAGCAGTAAAGGTCATATTATCTTTTAAAATACACTGATATAGGCGCTGCTTAGTTAGCGCAACGCACAAAAACTCGTAGCGCAAACTTCAAAAATTTTTTTCTCAAAAACACCAAAAATCACTTCTTTAAAAATTTAACCACTTATTAAGGAAGGTTCAAATTTTGAGAAAATTATTTTTCTAGAATATTCCATGATGTCCTTTGCTCTTTTTTTAACAATAAAAAATTATTGTTTAAACAAAGTATTGAAAAATTAATTTTTCTTAACTTTTTTTTAAATATTATAAAAGATTGACATTTTCTCTACAATTTTGAATAAATGACTTTTTCTTGTAGAATCAATAGTTTTCGAAATAAAAATTCTCAAAAAAAGTCATTTTTTTCAGTTTCCGATTTTTCAAATCTAAATATCTTGCAAAAAAAATTTTTTTTTGCAAAACTGTTTGGCACAGTTATTTAGTACCCCAAGTACTACAAAATTACAAACTTTAAGAAAAATCGGTGATCCACCATTTGCTTTTCGTATGGAGCTGCCCCATATTCACCTATAATATAATGAAAAAACAGAACTAAATAATACGATTTTAACTACTTATGGTGATGTTTAGAAATATTTTGCATTTTACAACGAAAACTCAAAAAATACATTTTCCCTTGTCTTTACTAAAAATTTGTCAAGAATGTAATCGTTTGTTTTGTAATGATATAAACAAAGGTTGTTTAAGATTTTCTAGACATCGCAGCGAATTTTAAGGCTTTTAAGTACGTGAAATTTAAAAGCTCCCATTACCCCACGCCCCCTACACAAAAAATAAAAAAGATATTTCAAAAATAAAATTTGCATATCTTTTAGTACTTTTGACAGATTTTCCCCTAAATTTTTTTTTTAAAACCAGCCAATATCGTAGGTTTTAACTTGTCCAAAATGTGAATCATCTTAAAATGCTTTATGGGGCGTTCAATGGCTCTATGAACCGATGAAATTTTGGTTTTGCTTATACCCAAGCAGCACGGAATATAACCTTAAAATGAAGGGAATACTACATTTCATATTCGGAATATTCTAGGGATCTTAAAGTAATATTAAAATGTCCGCCCCACAGAAATATTCCAAAAATAACATTGAGGCAATGTTCCACCGTAATATTAATGGAATATTCCAAGGTAATGTTGAATGAATATTAAGGAGGATAGGTTCACGACGGTAGTCAAGATAACTATTTTTTTTTAAATGTTCAAATATGAAATAAATTTTAATATGTAAATTAAAAGATCATTTTTTAAAATAATGTTGTGTACATTATTATGTAAAAATCTGTAAATAATTAAAATTTTAAGAAAAAACAGTAATATTTTGAAGAACGTAGTGCTTTGCAGTTAGAGATCTGGCAACATGACATGAACAGCTGATGCGAGCGCATGCGAATTAGTGTTGTTTTGGTCAGTTTTGGTTAACTTTCGTTATGGAGAATAGTTTTTCTTTAGTTTGACAATTTAATAAATTGTTTTTTTTTCACTTTTTGAAATAGTGTATTTTTCAGTACTCAGCTTTATTTGAATTACCGCGCTACTCCGCTTCTCCCACCGCTCTCAACAGTTGCGATGTTGCCACGCACTCCGCGTCACTCACGTCAAAAAAAAAATTACAAGTAACTTTAAGTTTTGGATAAATAATACTCTGCAACTAAACGGTCAATTTCGTTCTCTTTGAAGTATTATGTTCCTTAAACATTGAATTAATTTTGCTTTAATTTTGAGTTGAATCTCTCCGCTGTGTCAAAAGTTATTAAACAAGTTGTTATTTTTTTTTCATTTTTTTTTTGCGGCCATTAGCTCAATGCTAAATACTGAGAAAAATAGTAAACTTTGGCCGTCAATATCTCGAAAACTATACGGTCAAATTGGCTCAGATTTAACAATAATATGCATTAATATGTCATTTAATTTTGCTGCAAATTTCAAACGAATCTCTATGATTCATGATTTTGAACTAACCTCCTTAAGGGAATATTCCCTGGAAATATTCAAAAATTTCATACTTTGAAAAAATTTGACTTTTTTTCTCTTTATCTTCTTTCTTTAGTAAAAACGATTTTCAATGGTGTTTTCAACATACACTGCAAGCCCGATCAGCGGTCAGCTCCGGGAGTGCTTGACCGCTGATCGGGCGTAAACATATTGGACCGTACGAACTGTTTTGTGATGGGTTACCATTACTTGACTACTGAATTTTTTTTTAAGGGGCCAGAGCGTCTTTAATGTATACGCTACTGCCACAACTTTTCGACTCCCTCTTTGCCCCTCGCTCGCACCATCTACAAACGACGTAAACAAGTGACCACTGATCGGGTGACCGCTGATCGGGCTTGCAGTGTATTTAATATTATCTGGGAACATTCCCTCAACATCACCCTGGAATATTCCATAATATTACGGTGGAACATTTCTTCAACATTATCCTGGAATATTACTTCGATATAACCGTGGAACATTCCCTAAATGTTATCTTGGAATATTCCTGTGCAGCGGACATTTTAATATTACTTTAAGATCTCTGGAACATTCCACTGGAATATTCCGAATATGAAATGCAATATTCCCTTCAATTTAAGGTTATATTCTGTGATACTTGGGTACTTTGTAATTTGATAGTGTTTAGGGTCCTAAATAAGTGTGCCAAAAAGTTTTACAAAATTTTTAATATTTTGCAAGGTGAATTTGTTTGACAGGGGGAGGGGGGGGTATAAAATCCCGAAAAATTGCGTGACATCATTTGTGAACGCTCTTCAATCAAATAATTTCAACACTTTTTTCAGGAATTTTTATCTCGTAAACTATATAAAAATGCTGTTTCATTAATTTTGTTGGGAAATGTTTTTTTGAAATTTTTACTGCATTATTCTTACGCACGTCACCGTCACCAATATTGTTACAATATATATTGTAACAATATTGTTACGACAAAGTCTAGACTTTGGGTTTTTGCAAGTCTAGACAATATAGTTGTATAATAATATAAATTTTTCTTTCTAAACCAGAGTTTGAACATTTACAAAAAAACCTAATAGTGGTTAGAAAATGTAAAAAATTATTAATATTTATAAAAATATAAATTATTTTATTTAAAATCATTGTGTAATAAGACAAAAATTATGAAGTGACATTTTAAAAAATTGTCATTGTACATTATACGAAATGTTATTTTTACGTATTCTCTTACTAAATCTTTCATTTTCGTCCGCTATCCTGGATTCGCCATTTTGTAATTTTAAAAAGTGACTTTGGATTCATAATCAGTGGAATTTTACTAAAAATTAGTTGAAAAGTACTAAAATATCAGTCATTCTTCACTGATTGTTATTTTATTGTAATTTATTTATTATTGTAAATTTCTGTCTAACAAATAATTTTACTAAAAGTCAGTTGAAAATTACACTTACAGAAATATAAGTCATCTTTCACTGATTATTCATTTAAAAAATTATTGTTGATTTCTGTCAAACAAATAAATAAGTAAATACACAAGTAAATAAATAAGTTCCCTTACAACACAGACAGCGCAGTATTAGCGACTGAGGTATTTATGTATATTTAAAAAAATTTCAACACACACTAAGTGCATCAACGAACCTTAAAAAATTCAACAATTTATATTATCAATTGTTTATTAACCCTTAAACCGCACACTGCCGAATCCATCCTTAAACCGCACACTGGGTGTGCGACACCCAGGGACTTTTAAGTGTGTTTTCCAAGCTGGAATAGGATATTTTCTTTTGGAAAAATGATCTTATTATTTAATTTTAATAATTAAAAAAGAAATTTTTTAAACTACTGAAATTACCTCAAACCGAAAATTAGGTGTCAGCAACTTATAAATTTTTCGCTTTCAACTTCATAAAGTTTTCAAATACGCAAAGATACATGGGAGACAAATATTACTCACGGAACATAAACTTAAGTACAAAATGTACCGTCCAATAGCGACACATGTTTAATTTTTGCAAATATAAACGATATATTGGTGTAAAAAGCAGGAATATGGGTGTCGCACACCCAGGGTGCGGTTTCAGGGTTAAATCTATATATGTGATTTGTGTATATGTAGGAGTTTATATCTGCATATGAGTACATGTTTATGTACTCATTTGTTTAATTATGTACATGTGATTAGTGTCTATGTGTAAGTATACATGTGTGGGTGTTTTGCGCGCATGTTAGATGTTCATAGAACACTACTGCGCATGCCTAATATTCATAGAACACTACTGCGCATGACTGATATTCATAGAACACTACTGCGCATGCGTAACATTGACACAATACTACTGCGCATGCGTAACATTTACAGAACACTACTGCGCATGCGTAACATTGACACAACACTACTGCGCATGTGTAACATTGACACAACACTACTGCGCATGCGTAACATTGACACAACACTACTGCGCATGTGTAACATTGACAGAACACTACTGCGCATGCGTAACATTTACAGAACACTACTGCGCATGCGTAACATTGACACAACACTACTGCGCATGCGTAACATTGACACAACACTACTGCGCATGCCTAACATTGACACAACACTACTGCGCATGCCTGACAGTGACAGAACACTACTGCGCATGCCTAACATTGATACAACACTTCTGCGCATGCCTAACATTGACACAACACTACTGCGCATGCCTAACATTGACACAACACTACTGCGCATGCCTGACATTGATATAACACTACTGCGCATGCCTGACATTGATATAACACTACTGCGCATGCGTGATTTGTGAATTTGTATACATTTGTGTTAATATTGTTTTTAAAAGATATATACATATATATACGGCTAGGGTCGGTCGGTCGGTCGGTCGGTCGGTCGTTCTTCAACTTAATATAATAGAGGATTCTAACTTTATTTTTAATATATATTGTTTCCATACTCAAATAATTTTTATTAATTTTCCATTAAATTTTAAATTACAATAAATATGATTTAGTTACTCGAAATTAAAATACAAGTTACTTTAAAAGAGACAGAATTAAGAAAGAAGGGAAAAAATAAAATAATTATTAAAATATAAAATTAAGAAGATAAAATTTTCTTTCATGTTCTTTTAGTGACAAATATTTTCTATTTGCATTTTTTATTTAAATTAATTTATTTTTTAAGTAAAAAATAAAGTTAGAATTTTTTTTTAATAAATAAAACTTTTTTCTGGGTGTAGGATATAATAAGGGAAAGAAAAATAATGTTATTATTTTGACTCACCTCATAAGTTTACGAGTTGATGCTGGATGTTGAAGTCTCTTGCGTTAAAATCGTCCATTGCTAATTTCCTAGCTAATACAATAATTATTTTTTTGGTTTAAAAATCTCTAGCTAAATAACAAACATTTTTAGAACTCGTAGAGAAAATACCTAATACAACGAGAACTAAATAATTCATTTTTCATAGATTTTCCACTACTTTTGAGTCACTTTTCGGTGTATTTTTGCGTCCTCCTCTTTTCTTTGCTCGCCATTGATTGTTGAGAAAGATATAAAATATATCTCTGCAAAAAAATATTGGTTAATTAGACAAGAAAAAATTTAGAAATTGTTAAAATAAATTCCTACTTTTATATTTGTTTTCCAAGAAAAATTATTTCTTTACATAAAAAAAATTTTTAATATCTGTTACAAAGAAATGATTGATTAGAAATAATTAAAAAAACTTTAATTAAAATTGTAAATAAAATAAAATTTTGTAAAATTTAATTTAAAAGAATTTAATTAAAAATTTAAATAAAATACTATTTTGAAAAAGTTTGTTTAAAAGAAATAATTATTTAGTTTTTAAAATTTTTATTTGATATAAATAAATTTTTTATTTCACTAATATTAATAGATAATTAATAATAGATTCAGGAATCTTCAAGAATTACTGGATAATCATATTTATTTAAATAATTCGTCATTCACGACTTTTCGATATAGATAATTAATAAATGATATCAAATAAAAAAAAATTATTAATTACAGTTGCCAAAGCATAAATAATTAATTCATTGTTAAAATAATTTAAATATAACAAAGATAATTTAAAAAAATAATAATATAAAAATGATTTATTATTAAAATAATTCAAATAACAAAGATAATTTTTAAAAAATAATATAAAAATAATTTATTATTAAAAAACGATTAAAAAAAAGGTTGTTGTACTTTATGGTACTTACTCATTCTTTATGAAGTTCTACCGGAAAATTAATGAAAACTCCAGTTTCTTCGAAAATTGTCTCTCCTTTGGAAAATTCTTCAGAATCTATATTAATTGATAATAATAGTTAATTATTAGAGGCACTTTTAATTTGCTCAAATTATTAAAAATATTAAACAAAATTCAATTAATTAGTTATATTATCAACTAGCTGCCTCACCGAAAGAAGTCAATGAACTGCGGCATAATGGAAAACTTAATCGGGTAGAAGGAGAAAATCATCCACGAAGGAAGGAGGAGAGGGGGAAAGGGTACAATTTTCCTTTCGTACTTTTATTGTCGGTGAAGAAAAGTTAGACAAGGACAGAAGGAAAACAAATTTTACTAACAATGCCCAGAGGTCATTCTCTTTCTTGTTTACATTGACTTCTCTTTCTAATCCTCAACATTATTGAAAAATTATTGTCGACTAAATATTCAAATAATTTCTAAAATTTTCAGTTAATTTTCACTACTTTTTTAAAAAATAAATTTATTTATTAATTGCTGGTTAATAAATTGTTTTAAAAAATATTGAATTCTTTTTTATTTTTAATTATTTAATTACTATTTTAATATTCAATTTTATTAATACATATTAGTTAATATCTATCTATTATAATAAACATTGATTGCTAATAATAATTATTATAAATGCAAAAATATAAATTAAATTTTTTCTGTATCAATTATTTTTATTGGTAAATTAAAATAGAACTGTAGAAAAATTTTTACTAATTCTTCAAATAAATTTTACTTAGTGGAAAAAATTAATATTTCAACATATAATCACGTAATTTTATAATCATAAAGTGATGTGAAAAATTTTTTATACTAAAAAATGCTTTATCATGAAAAAAATGAATTTAATTTTTCATAATTTTATATTTAAGAGAATTTTTACTTTTTAAATAAAAAATAGCAGTTGAGGTCATGTAATTCAGTGGTAACGTGTTTCAATAGTAAAATATGTGGACCACGTGGTCACTAATGGAACGATTTTTTAGATTCAAATAAAACATTCTTTTTGCATAATTAAGTAATAAAGAGTACTGTATAATTAATATTTTTTTGACTTACCCCTTTAGTTCGTGTGTGTCCTTTTTCCTTATCGCTCTAAATTTGAAGGTTCTGGGCATGTCTGCGTCATTTCCCGGTACTTTGAGTAATGTTCCCTCTCCGATGTCTCATGAAGAACTGTGAGATGATGCGTCACTGCAAACAAAATTTTTGAGTTAATTAGACAAAAGAACAAATTTTGAATACATAATAAAATATTAATAATAAAATTTTTAAAAATTTCTAATTCAAAACATTTTTTTTTCTTAAATAATTTTTTACAATTTTCTTCCAATTTTATATTGAATTTTTCTTTATTTTCAATTCTTACTAACTTTATTTTTAAGTAAAAAATGTAATGAAAATTTTTTTTAAATTTTATTTTCTAAAATTAAAAATAAAATATATTAACAATAAAATCTTATTTCTATAATAGAATTATTGTAGTTTATTATTACCTAGAACTTAAGGTCAAAATAGAGCCTGGTTACACCACAGAGGGTAAAGTAAGAAGAGAGTAAATTAAGTTGTGGAAACAGAGGAAAAGTTAAATTTGCGCCTGCGCAGTAGTTTTCAATCGTGAAATACTGTACTGCGCAGACGCGAATTTAACTATTCCTCTACTTCCGCAGCTCAATTTACTCCTTTCACTTCTTACTCATAATCAATTTTACTTACTCTCAGTTTAATTCTCACACTAATTTTTCTCATTCTATTTTTTTTATTAATTTTTTTTTTTAATTTTATTTTTATTATAATTATTTTTTTATTAATTATTTTTTTATTAATTAATTTTATTTTATTAATTATTTTTTTATTAATTCTAAAATAATAAATAAAAAAAGTTTTTTCTTTTACAGAAAAAAACGAAATTAGGGTAAAAATAAGACAAACATAACCATAAAATAAGTTGCTTTTTAGGTACCCTTCTTCGGAACGCGATACATTAACGAAAATAATTATTTAATGAAAATGAACTCTTAAGAACCAAGTGTTACAAATTTCCAATCAAACTTTATGTCAAGTGAAGTCAATTTCAAGAGCCAAAGTACAAATCACAAAAAAGTAATGAGAAACATATACATTCAAAGAAAGTAAAACAATTCGTCCTGGTCCAAAGATTTTCGAATGTAAAATAATGTTTCTAATTATTTATTCTTACTTTTCTTTATTATTTACATTTATTTATGATAATATTTAATTCAATATAATATTTATTTTAATGCATTGTTATTATTCAATTAATTATTTACAGAAATAACAAAATTATTTAATTAATAATTATTATTAAGACAAATAATTTTAGATTTATGTGTGGATGGACCCTTAGCGTCTTCCGAGAAAAGTCCGCGTATGCGCACCATATTATTTTTAATTTTTAGCATTTTTAATTAATCATCATTATGCAATAATTTATTATTTTCAATTTTTTTTTCTTAATTACAAACCTAATAATTAATAATTTAATTCAGCAATATAATAATTAACAATTAATTAATAATTTTAGTTTAAAATATCTTAAACCAAATAGTTTGAAATTTTTTAATATTTAAGACATTTGAAATTCTCTACATTACCAACTGAAGTAAAAAGTCAAAACGGCCATATTGGACCCGCCATTTTGAATTTTTCAAATCTAATCCAAAATAAGTTGTTTCTCGTTCTTCGCAGCGAAACAAAAACGACAAAAAATTGAAAATTCAATATAATTTAAATTTAAACTTTAAAAATAAATTTTGTTAAGACAATTTCGAGAAAAAAATTGAAGTAACGGAAAATTTTACTAAATAAAAAATACTTTTTTGGAAAGAAAGAAGGAGGAAAAAATTCTTTTGAATAAAATTCGACTAATTAACAACAACAAAAATTAAATTTTCAAAAATCTACAATTTTCACACGTGTTTCAATTATTATAAATAGTATTTCACATTCACCTAATAGTTATACGTCCATTTCTCTTCTTCTCAACAATGTGAATAATCACATTATACGCACGGCGACTGAAAGACAAAACGCAAAGTATAGAAAGAGAGAGAGAGAAAGAGTGAGCAAAGGATATCTCTTCAAAAGAAGAAAGAAGAAAAGATTTTTTTTTTTTTGAAGATGGAGGAAGGAAGAACACGAGGTGGAAGAATATTATCGGGAATAAGAGAATAAAACCTTGGTACGCGGAGAAAGAGAGAAAGGTCCATATAATAGAAGAGGAGAGAGAAAAACGAATAAGAACGAGGGAAAAAGAGACAGAAAACGAAGTTAGAAGAGAAGATAGTTGAGTCTTTTGACTTTAACATTGCCGAAGACCGGTAAAGGAAGCAACGTCATTGGTCGGACAAGAGAACCAGAGATGAACCACCAACACACACACACACACAACTTGAGAGTAACAGAGAAGAGAGATAGAGAAAGAGAGAGAGACAATTCTCCAGTCTTTCGTTGGCCGTCAAACCGAAAGGTTCTCTCCCGGTTCTTTCATTAAACAAATATATTTATATAAATTTTTTTTTAAATTTTCAAACATTTTATTCAATAAAAAAATATTTAAAAAAATTCAAAACTTGGTTTAATTTTTTTTACAAATTAGTTTCTTTCATATTTGTAAATTAGTATAAAAAGAGACGCTTTTAATGTGACTATAATATGGAAATTAAAAATAAATTATGAAAATTAGAAAAGTGTTATATTTTCAATGGTGATATTTGGATAAGGACTTTTTATCCCTTCTATTAAGAGGTATTTTTTTAGAATTATAAAATGAAAAAATCCCTGCGCTTGAAGTTAGAATTAAAAATAATTATCATGTAGTTTGTAATTGGTACCGTTTTGCAACAAATTGTCCTTTTTGGCAAAATATTTGCATTTTGCAATCTATTCATTTTATTCCTTATTTAGACGCTTTTCGGATTATTTACAAAATTAACAACCCTAGTAATTATTATTTATCTATTTTTAAGTAAGAATTTTTAATTAGAAATTTTTTTGTTATGATAAATAAAAGAGTATAATAATTAATAAATATTTTTTTAATTAAACAAAAATAGTATAATAATTAAATTATTTATTTCTTATTTAAACAAAAATTATGTATTCATTTATGTATAAATAAATAAGTACATAAATAATATTAATTGTATAATTATTACAAATCATTTATTTAACTATTTATTCTTATTCACAAATAAAAAAATAAATAACAATTATCTATAATTATCATTAGAATTGTTTTTCTTAATTATTTATTAAGGAAGACATTTATAATAATTATTTAGTATTAATAGTAAAAATAACTAATTTTAATATTACTATTTTATTTAATTGGCTATTAACTAAGAATATTAGTTAATATAATATATTATAACATATAGTTTTCCAATATTTATTATATAATATAATTAAATAATATTTTATTAGTTAATATTATAATATATAATAATAATCATATAATATAATAGTTTATTAAATAATTATAATAATAGTGATAATAATATTAATCAATCATTAAATAATATTGTTAAACATTCTTAATAATTTAAAATAAAGTTGACAATATAAATAAATATTAGATGAGTTAATAATTTAAATTAATTATTTTAACTAAATTAAATTATTTAAATGCTTTTATATATTAATTACATAAATTATAAAAATAATTTTTAAAACTTTCAATTTTTGAAATGTTATTTTTTTAAAAATAAAAGTTGACTTTAAAAAAAAAATTCTAAAGAAAAAAGCGAAATTTGATAAAAGAAGATTAAAGGAAAAAGGGGAATTTATATACAGCCTGTTAGTTAATTCAGTTTTGGTGAAGATTATTTGGCTATATACCTGCGACTCTTCGTTTTATTTCACATATCTAATTAAGTCTCTCGAATGGACTCCAAATAACGCGATAATAATAAATGTTAATCTTTTTTTTCATTTTAAAAAGCACAAGTTGATTTGAATTTGTGAAGCGAGAAAGAAACGGAATTTTAACATCCGCGTGTGTCATGAATATTATCAAAATACAAATTATAATACATTTTTATATACGCATAGATATATTCGTATGAAATTTTATTATATAAAAATGCGCAATTTAAACACCTCCTTTTTTTTATTTTAATTTTACATTTATTTAGAATTACTTTTTTCAAATTTAAATTTGTATTTACTTTAGATATCAAATTGAAAATTATTTAAATAATCTATTATTTTACTTATTTATTATTTACGTCATAATTAATTTGATATTGTCGATTTTTAATCAATTTTCTAAATTTACGGTTTTTTAAACAAATTTTTGCAACTTTGTTTTTAAAAACAAAAATTTACTTGCAGTTAAAACTTTTTAGTTAATTTTTAATTTTTTCCAGTAAAAGAAGAATGTGTATTTTTATTTAAAATTTGATATAATATATTAATAACAATTAATAATAATAAAAATTTTATAATAAATAATTTATTTTATTTAAATGTCTAATTCTTTTAAAATATTTATTAATAGATTATTAATATTCTCGTCCATATTAGATAAATAAATATATTAAATAATATTAATTAATTATTAATAATAATGTCAAAAGTATTGATAACAAATAATTACCATTATTAATACTGATAATAATAAATGTGACGCGTTCTCAAGAAAGATACTTAAGAAGCAACAAATTTTAGGTTATGTTCAGAATTTTTGAAGTAAAAATGCAGAAAGAGAATTAATTACTATTACAAATTAATAATTTTCAAGTCTTCGTTACATAAAAAATATTCAATAAAAACTTTTTTCAAATTTAAATAATTAAAAAAGAACTTTTAATCAAGATAAATGTAAAACAAACATAACCTATAAATCTTCCGTTTCTTAGGTACCTTCCTTGGGAGCGTGTCACAAATAATTAATATTAACAATTAATAAATTATTAATAAATTAAATAATTAATATTAATAATTAATTAATAATAAATTAAATAATTAATATTAATAATTAAATAATTAATAATAATAATATTAACAGTAAATTAATAAAAATATAAATTTTATTTCATACGCAATTTACTTTAGAAAATCTTAAACAGAAAATAATGAATTTCAAAAAAATTTTGCGCACGCGTCGATTGATTATGTTTATTATTTATTTTCGCGCACGTGCCAGGAAAAATAATTAAGAAAATAAAGAAAGGTCCTTGCGTTCGTATGCATTATACGAAGTTAATTAAAATAATTTTAATTTCAATTGTTCTTTTTTTGCAAGTATATATATAATACTATATCGTGCGCACAACTTACTAAGTCGAGTGAGTGAGAGAGAAAGAGAGAATGTTCATTTTCACTTGTATTGTTGAATAGCTTCAGTCGCGACCTTGACAATGTGTCAGTTAAGTAAAGGCAAGGCCGATTCTTATATGAAGCAGACAATTTGTTTCTAATTAGTTTTTTTTTTTTTAATGGAAATCGTTAATTAATTTCTATTATTTTTTTGCAATGAAAACTATTTCTTTATGCCAAATAATGAATCAACAGTGGTTTTGAACCAAAAAAAAATTTAAGTCACGTTAATCTAATTGTACATAAATAGTAATAATTAAAAAATAATAGTGTAAAATAATAAAAAATATTAAAAAT